TGGGCCTCTTTGGTTTTAATAAGCAAAATATTCCCCATTTGGGCTGTTCCAAGAGAACCAAAGAGTTGCCAGTTTTGATTAGCGAAAAGAGAAGGTTCTACGAGTCTAGGTTACTCTGCCACTCGGGACACGTGATTCAGCAGGTCCAGGGCTGCTTGAAGGATAAGTGGCAGATAGGGATGTGGTTTGGCTGATAACTAGAGATGAATTATAGTCAGCCCTTAAAATTTTAAAGCAGCCTACCGTCCTCTGCAGATAACTACTCTCCTTTTTTGAAACAGCTTTTGCCCCTATACTATGACTTAATAGAGACTGAACACTTAAACCATGGGCCACCAAGTTACCATCATGAACTGGGTGTTATATGGCCTACCAACCCATAGAGCTAATGTACTCAGCATCCCAGTATCAGATGGAGCATAGAAGGAGTATATATTTCATCAGCCCAGAGGAAGCTCTGAAAGCACAAGTTAAATGAAGAAACGGCCCAAATGCCTATGGCTCTCATTCCTGCTACACTACATTCTCTCTCAGCCCACACTTAAGAAGAGAAGATTCAGGCCTGCCTTACTTATAGTTCAGCCTCATATTCAGGAACCACTCAAAATTGGACAGCTGTAGCACTACAGGCCCTTTATGGGACATTCCTGAAGGACAGTGGTGAAGGAGGACTCCCCCAGTGAGCAGAACTTTAAACAGTGTACTTGATTGTTTAATTTGTTTGAGAGGAGAAATGGCCAGATGTGCAATTATATATTGATTAATGGGATGTGGTCAAAAGTTTGACCGGATAGTCAGGGACTGTGAAGAAACCTGATAGAAAAATTGATGACAAGGAAATCTGAAGAGGTAGGTTTTTCTCTGTATGGGAAAAGCCACAAATATATTTGTGCAAAATATAAATGCTCACCTAAGGGTGATTTTAGCATAGAAGGATTTTTTTTTTTTTTTTTTTTGAGGCGGAGTCTCGCTCTGTCGCCCAGGCTGGAGTGCTGTGGCTGGATCTCAGCTCACTGCAAGCTCCGCCTCCCGGGTTCCCGCCATTCTCCTGCCTCAGCCTCCCGAGTAGCTGGGACTATAGGCGCCGCCACTACGCCTGGCTAGTTTTTGTATTTTTAGTAGAGGCAGGGTTTCACCGTGTTAGCCAGGATGGTCTCGATCACCTGACCTCGTGATCCGCCCGTCTCAGCCTCCCAAAGTGCTGGGATTACAGGCCTGTAGTTTTTTGTATTTTTTAGTAGAGGTGGGGTTTCACCGAGTTAGCATAGGAGGATTTTAATAATTAAATAGGATGACCAGCTCCGTGGATACCAGTCAACCTTTTCCCCTAGCCACCCAGTTATCACCTAATTGTCTCATAAACAAAGTGGTTATGATAGGAGGAATGGAGGTTATGCACAGGCTCAGTATCATGGATTTCTACTCAACAAAGACAACCTATCTGCAGCCACTGCTCTGGACCTAATATACAAACAGGAGAGACCAGCAGTAATTCCAGATATGGCATAATTTTCAAGGGGTGGTCAGCCAGCTACTGACTGACAGGTTGATTACACTGGACTGATTCTATAATGGGGCGGGGGGAGCAGCATTTTATTATTATTGGAATAGACACTTACTCTGAATACACATTTGTCTTCCTTAAACAATGATTCTGACAAAGTTACTATCAATGTGCTTACAGAATGCCTTAGTTCAAGTCATGGTCCCAACAGCACTACCTGTGATCAAGCAGCTCACTGCATAGCAAATAAACTGTGGTCATACACTTATGCTCATGGAATATACTAGTCTTATGTTTCTTACTATCTTGAATAAGCCAGCTTGAGAGGATGGTGAAATAGACTTTTAAAGACTTAGCTACAGCGTCAAGACTTAGTTACAGTGTAAATTGCCAGGCAGCAATTTCTTGCAGGTTTGGGGCAAGATTTCAAGTAGGTTGCATATGTTCTGAATTTTAATTTAATTTTTATATATATATATATGAATTAAAGATATTTATATATTTCCTCCACAAAGGAACTAACATATGGTGTATATACATGTATGTGTATATGTATGTATACATATGTATGTGTGTACATGTATTATATATATTATGCATATACACATTTATACATAAACTCTATATATAGATGTAGATGTGTATATATAGATGTGTGTGTATATACCATCTATATATAGAGAGATGAAATATATAGGGGTCTGTGTATATATATATGGGTGTGTCTGAATGTATCTGTGTGTATATATGTACACACACACCCATATATATACACACACACCTATATATATATATATACACCTGTATATACACACACACACCCATGTGTATATATGTATGCATATATATACACACACATCTATATACAACTATATATCTATATATCCCTATATATATATATAGGGTGTGTGTGTGTGGATATGTGTATGGATATCAAGATATCTTGATATCTTGCCCCAAACCTGCAAGGTATTGCTGCCTGACAATTGACACTGTAACTAAGTCCTGATGCTGTAGCTAAGTTTTTAAAAGTCTATTTCACCATCCTCTCAAGACGACTCATTCAAGATGGTGAGAAACATAAGACTAGTATATTCCATGAGCATGAGCATATGACCACAGTTTCTTTGCTGTGCAGTGAGCTGCTTGATCACAAGCAGTGCTGTTGGGACCATGACTTGAACTAAGGCATTCTGTAAGTACATTGATAGTAACTTTGTCAGAATCATTGTTTAAGGAAGACAGTTGTGTATCCAGAGTAAGCGTCTGTTCTAGTAATAATAAAATGCTGCCCCCTCCATTATAGAATCAGTCCAATGTCATCAACCAGTCAGCAGGTAGCTGGCTGACCACCCCTTGAAAATTGTATCATATCTGGAGTTAATGCTGGTCTCTCCTGTTTGTATATTGGGTCCAGAGCAGTGTGTGTGTGTGTGTGTGTGTGAGAATGTATGTGTCTGTGTGTACACACACACACATCTATCTATCTATCTATCTATCTATCTATCTATCTATCTATCTATCTATCTATCTATCTAGAGAGGTATTTCTCCCATAGTTGGGATTTATGGTCCCAGAATCAAGCAGTGGAAATGGAGGTAGCACCAGTCACTGTTAGTAGTAACCCACGAACAAAAGTATTGCTTCCTGTTTCTACAACTTTATTCTCTGCTAGCCTAGAAGTCTTAGTTCCAAAGGGAGGTATGCTTCAACCAGGAGTCGCAATAATGATTCTATTAAACTAGAAGTTATGATTTCCACTTAGCTGCTTTGCACTTCTCATGCCTGTGAGTTAACAGGCAAAGCAGGAAGTTACAGTTCTGGCTGGGTGATTGATATTAACTACCAGTGGGAAATTGGATGACTACTCCACAGAGAAGATAAGAAAAAGTATATTGGAAATACAAGACATCCCTCAGGGCACCGCTTAATGTTGTCATGCCTTGTGATTAATATCAATGGAAAATTACAAGGACCCTATCCAGGAAAAATTACTACTGGTCCCCACCTTTCAACAATTAAGATTTGAGTCGGTACATCAGGTAAAAGGCCATAACCACCAAAGGTGCTTGCTGAAGGCAAAAGAAATACAATATGGGTAGTGGAAAAGGCAATTGCAAATGCCAACTATGATTGCGTAATCAGTTATAGTAATAAAGACTATCATTGTCAAGGATATTTCTCTCCTTATTTTGTTATGAATATTTTTGTGTGTATATAACAAACATCTTTGTTGTCTTCCCCTCTTATTCCCTTACCTTGTAGTGTAAGATTAATGGTGTTATAGCATTGTATCTAAGTATCGCTAGCTTTACATCATAGTACTTAACTTCCAGGGTATCAAGGAAAGGCATAAACATCATTCAAGGACTTTACCTCCTTCTCTGTGGAAGGGGTTAGTGTGTTTTCAGTTATAGGCAGGATAGTTCTCTTGTGTCAGATAGAATTAAGATCTTCTTATTGACATTATTTGAAGAATAAATACAGTTTAAGGAGATGGATACAGATGCCAAGTTGGTAATGGGTCAACTTGTCATGTTAAATTTTGAGTGTCAAGTTGACTGGACCACACAGTGCCTGAACGTTTGTTCAAACATTATTCTGGGTGTATCTGCAGGGGTGTTTCAGAAAAGCATTAACATTTGACTTGGTAGACTAAGCCAAACAGATTGCCCTCCCTAACATGGGTAGGCCTCATCCAATTAGCTGAAAACCTAAATGGAACAAAAATTCTAAATAAGGGTGAGGCATGGTGGCTCATGCCTGTAATCCCAGCACTTTGGGAGGCCGAGGCTGGTGGATCACCTGAGGTCAGGAGTTCGAGACCAGTCTGATCAACATGGTGAAACCCTGTCTCTACTAAAAATAAAAAATAAAAATAAAATAAAAAAGTTAGTGACACCTGCCTGTAATCCCAGCTACTTGGGAGGCTGAGGCAGGAGAATCGTTTGAACCCAGGAGGCAGAGGTTGCAGTGAGCTGAAATCACACCACTGCACTCCAGCCTGGGCAACAAGAGCAAAACTCCATCTCAAAAACAAACAAACAAACAAAAATGCTGAATAACAGAAAATTCTTTCTCTCTGACTCCATGAGCCCAGACATTGGTGTCTTCCTACCTTTAGACTGAGACTAAAACATAGGCTTTTTTTTTTTTTTTTTAGATTTTAGGTCTCCCAGCTTTTGCAGTGGAACTTATACCATCAGTTCTCCTGACTCTCAGGTCTTCAGACACAGACTGGAACAATATATTGTTTCTCTAGTTTATCAAGTGCAGATTCTGGGACTTCTCAGCCTCCACAGTCATATGAGCCAATGCTTTATCCCAAATATAGGCATGTGTGTATTTGTATGTATATATATTTATTTATTTATATCCTACTAGGTATATTTCTTTGGAGAACCCTCATATATTCTAATATATTATGGATCCAAAAGACTTCTTTCAAGGCATGTTGTATTCAAATATAAATAAAAATCTTTAAATATATCTTTACCTTTGATATTTGGGAAAGTTCCTTAGATCAGAAGACGTTTTCTTGAAAGTCAAAGTAATTACACATCTTGCAAATGCTAGATCATGGTTAACACGTCAGTCTGGATAAAGAAACTTGCTTGTCTGTTATTACCAAAACTAAATACATAAAAAAAACCCTCAGCATCTTCTGTCAGGTTATAAATGTCACCTTGTGATAATATTTTATACTGTATATAGTTAATATAATATATTAATAACTAGCATTTCTTTTGTTTCTTTTTTCTTTGTCCCATTAATGTGCTGAATGATTAAAAATATTATTATTATGTGTCATCAACTTTATAAGAATTACTTATAAGCCTAGGCCTCAAATGATCATTTTCTGTGTCACAATTTCCATGTAAAAATCCCAAATATAATTGTAGGACTAACTTCATTAAACAATACAATACATATTCATAGTAAATTAACAGTCAAATATCATAAAAACACAGAAACTTTATCATATATTTTACCTCTGACTTACATAATTCATACTGATAACACCACCACATATCATTGGAACAGCTGAACTAGAACACAGAAAATGCTTCTTTTAGTGTAAAAATGCCCTTTGGGTTTTCTCTTGCACCATTTTAATCTGTTCGGTTCATTAAGTTAGTTAGAAGCTTATAAAAAGAGGTTGGGGTAAGTTATTCCAGAAGGAGGGAGTAACATCAGTTCCCTGCAATCCCGCATTCACTAATTATCAATGGTCACTACTATCTAATGTAGAACTGACTCAATAAAGTAAATATGGTCATAATGAGTGCTGATATAAAGGGCTGGAAAACCATGAATGAAATTGCTAATGGGATTTCTCAATTGCTGTAATTGTGCCCTAACGTAGAAATCAATAATTGATTTATTGTATCATCTTACTTTTTATAACCTTTAGTGATACCTCACAGAATTCTGGTTAGATAAATCTTATTCTAGACTTAAACAACGTATCTGAAATTTGAGTAAGATTTTAAATGTTCTTTCTAATTTTCATTTCACATATAGAACATAAATTTAACAATTTCTCAAAATCCTTAAGAAAATTTTAACACATCATAATATTAGTTATAATAAATTATGTAATTACTTCTAATATCTCATTTATTCAAATGAAAAGTTTACCCTAAATGTGGTCAGTAGGATCATGGTTCTGTGATTACGCATTTCTGAAAAGGAAAAAAAGTTTTTCTAATTCCATGTTTTGAAGAATTATTCATGGATGCCACAATATAATATTTGAAATTTGATTTGAAATAATCATTGAGGCATTGAAGTGATATAAAGCCCAATTTCAATAAGTTGATACTTTCTTTTTTTATTATTATTATTATACTTTAAGTTCTAGGGTACATGTGCATCACCTGCAGGTTTGTTACATATGTATACTTGTGCCATGTTGGTGTGCTGCACCCATCAACTCATCATTTACATCAGGTATAACTCCCAATGCAATCCCTGCCCCCTCCCCCCTCCCCCCTCCCACCTCCCCCCTCCCCATGATAGGCCCCGGTGTGTGATGTTCCCCTTCCCGAGTCCAAGTGATCTCCTTGTTCAGTTCCCACCTATGAGTGAGAACATGCGGTGTTTGGTTTTCTGTTCTTGCGATAGTTTGCTAAGAATGATGGTTTCCAGCTGCATCCATGTCCCTACAAAGGACACAAACTCATCCTTTTTTATGGCTGCATAGTATTCCATGGTGTATATATGCCACATTTTCTTAATCCAGTCTGTCACTGATGCACATTTGGGTTGATTCCAAGTCTTTGCTATTGAGAATAGTGCTGCAATAAACATACGTGTGCATGTGTCTTTATAGCAGCATGATTTATAATCCTTTGGGTATATACCCAGTAATGGGATGGCTGGGTCATATGGTACATCTAGTTCTAGATCCTTGAGGAATCGCCATACTGTTTTCCATAATGGTTGAACTAGTTTACAATCCCACCGACAGTGTAAAAGTGTTCCTATTTCTCCACATCCTCTCCAGCACCTGTTGTTTCCTGACTTTTTAATGGTGTGAGATGGTATCTCATTGTGGTTTTGATTTGCATTTCTCTGATGGCCAGTGATGATGAGCATTTTTTCATGTGTTTGTTGGCTGTATGAATGTCCTCTTTTGAGAAATGTCTGTTCATATCCTTTGCCCACTTTTTGATGGGGTTGTTTGTTTTATTCTTGTAAATTTGTTTGAGTTATTTGTAGGTTCTGGATATTAGTCCTTTGTCTAATGAGTAGATTGCAAAAATGTTCTCCCATTCTGTAGGTTGCCTGTTCACTCTGATGGTAGTTTCTTTGCTGTGCAGAAGCTCTTTAGTTTAATTAGATCCCATTTGTCAATTTTGGCTTTTGTTGCCGTTGCTTTTGGTGTTTTAGACATGAAGTCCTTGCCCATGCCTATGTCCTGAATGGTATTACCTAGGTTTTCTTCTAGGGTTTTTATGGTATTAGGTCTAACATTTAAGTCTCTAATCCATCTTGAATTAATTTTCATATAAGGAGTAAGGAAAGGATCCAGTTTCAGCTTTCTACTTATGGCTAGCCAATTTTACCAGCACCATTTATTAAATAGGGAATCCTTTCCCCATTTCTTGTTTTTCTCAGGTTTATCCAAGATCAGATGGCTGTAGATGTGTGGTATTATTTCTGAGGACTCTGTTCTGTTCCATTGGTCTATATCTCTGTTTTGGTACCAGTACCATGCTGTTTTGGTTACTGTAGCCTTGTAGTATAGTTTGAAGTCAGGTAGCATGATGCCTCCAGCTTTTTTCTTTTGACTTAGGATTGTTCTTTTGACTTAGGATTGTCTTGGCAATGTGGGCTCTTTTTTGGTTCCATATGAACTTTAAAGCAGTTTTTTCCAATTCTGTGAAGAAACTCATTGGTAGCTTGATGGGGATGGCATTGAATCTATAAATTACCTTGGGCAGTATGACCATTTTCACGATGTTGAGTCTTCCTATCCATGAGCATGGTATGTTCTTCCATTTGTTTATGTCCTCTTTTATTTCACTGAGCAGTGGTTTGTAGTTCTTGAAGAGGTCCTTTACATCCCTTGTAAGTTAGATTCCTAGGTATTTTATTCTCTTTGAAGCAATTGTGAATGGAAGTTCATTCATGATTTGGCTCTCTGTTTGTCTGTTACTGGTGTATAAGAATGCTTGTGATTTTTGCACATTAATTTTGTATCCTGAGACTTTGCTGATACTTTCTGAAGGAGATAAAGAAGTTCACATATAATTTACCTGTTTTATAGATATTTTGCCATCACTTCTTCTTCATAATAAAAGCAAAAACAAACAAAACAAAAATGATGTGGTTAGTTTACTATTCAGTAAAGAAACATTAATTCTCACCTAATGTCTCAAACTATAAAATATTGACATTAAATAATAAAATTGTATACATCTATTTTTCCATTTTATTAGTAGCGAACTTTGTGTTAAAAATCTTAAACAAAGCAAGGTAAGCAAGTACATAAATATATATGTTCTCCATGTAACTATTTGCCACTAACATGTATCTTAGTAGATTATATATTCAAAATTAGAATACTCTTTTGATTTTACCTTTTTAACCCTGTTTTGAAAATGAGTTATATAAAGGTAACTGAAATGACTAAACTGTGTCCCCCAGCATTTATATGTTGAGGTCCTCACCTCTAGTATGTTAGAATGTGACTATATTTGAAGATATGGTCTGTAAAGAAGTAATTAAGTTATAATAGAGTCATTAGCGTGGGCTCTAATGTAGTAAGTCCAGTTTCCATACAAGAGGAGGAGATGAGGACACAGAGAAATATCAGAAGTGCACACACAGATTATCTGATTACACAGTGAAGTCTGCCTTCTGCAAGCCATGGAGAGTGGTCTCAGGTAAAACCAAATCTGTCACCATCTTGGTCTTAGACTTGCAGCCTCCAGAACAATGAGAAAATCAATTTCTGTTGTTTAAGCCACACTACCTGGGGTATTTTATTATGACATTTTTAGCAAACAAATACAGTAACTTTTCCTAATTTTTTTTTCTCCTTCATGTAATCACCTTTTCTTTTAATATGTGTAGTAGTCTTCTAGGACTGCCATAACAAAATACCTGAGACTACATGAAGTAAATAACAGAAATCTATTTTTTTTACAGTTCTTGAGGCTGGAAGTCAAAGTTAAGGTCTTGGCAGGTTTATTTTCTCCTGAGGTCTCTCTCCTTGACTTGCAGAAAGCATCTGCTAGATGTGTCCTCAGAGGGTCTTTTGTTTGTATGCACATCCCTGGTGTCTCTTTCTCTTATAAAAAGACTAGTAATATTGAATTAGGGCCTCACCCTTAGGACCTCATTTAAGTTTAGTTACCTTGTTAAAGGCCACATATCTAAATATAGTCACTTTAGGTTAGGGCTTCAACTTATGAATTTGGGAGTCAGCACAATTGAATCCACAAAATATGCATATGAAATGGGCACTTTATATGTTTATTTGATTATAGACATGCATTTTTGTATTCAGGAAATGAGAGATGGTTAAAGATTTGCATAAAAATGCCTGATTATCACTATTCCTCCAAAATCTTTTTACTGTGTTATGAATAACCATTCTGTAGATAGGCTTCATTCTACTGTCATTTCAAAATGCAGTGCCAGCTTTTTTAACTCTCAACATAATATCTGCCTTTTATAAAATTCAAGACCATTAATCTCATGTCTTTATTATATGATGGATTATTCTGTAGCCCCTCTTTCTGAAATACCCCTCCACCCACTATCGACATTTTTGTTTTTTAACTGTAAAAAAAAGAAAATCAAGCATGAATTTTATTGAAAAGTGCCTCCCATTTGAGTCTCATGAGCTGTGAAATATAGTTTGGATACAAGGACGAAGATAAATAGTTTTCATTTTTAGCCTACAGAAAATAATTTGTTCTGCTCTGGGAACTAGTAAATCTAAAAACCACCCTGACATAAATTCTCTCTTCTTTTAATAACAACGAGCGTTTAAGTGGATGGGTGAATTCCTTTGGACTCCATGTGATTTATCAGAACAAATCTTATTAAAACTGTAATGCTTCAGACAATATTTAATATTAGTCATTCATTTAGGATTAAGCACTGTATCTAGGACAGACTTTTAAAACTAAAACGAAATTTAAAGATCATTCACAAAAAATTGCTGAATCTTGAAAATCTTGAAAATCTTGAAAATTTATTCTCTCAATTATTATTATGTATATTTCTTTGTTCTTTAATTTGAAACTGAGAGAACATGTTTAATTACTCTGTGGAAAAGTAGGCCTATAAAGTTTTAGTGTTGAACGTTTCTTATTATACCCTATAATTGGCTTGTTTACCTTAAAATTGATGTGAAAATTAAGATGTTGCCATGACAGGTGTGTAGAAATGACTAGTATCCTTGCATTCTTAACATTAACTATACTGATATAATCATACTACTAATTCTTACACATATTTTTACTTATTTATTTTACAACAATATGTTCAAATCATAAAGATGTAGTTAATATGACTATATTTAGGAAAGTATAGTAATATACCTTTTAATCATAAAGTTTTGAATTTTTAATGACTTTAGTTAATGCTTCCATCATCTCTCAATTTGGCCACTGCAAAACTTTATGAG